CAGCACACAGTTAACCCTTTGATGGCCCCTCACATTAACCCCTTCCTGGCCAGTGCCATTAGTACAGTGTCAGCAGTGGCATCTCGAGGCAGGTGCAGGGGGATGCGGCCCGCACCGGGTGACACCGACCACACGGGGTAACACTGGACCCGCTCCACGAAAAGGTAAGTTTTAATGCATGCTAACGATGGATCTGATCCATCCTGCGGGGATCGTCGTCTTTCTTTACAACTTACCTTTTCTTGGAGCGGGTCCGGTGTCACCCCCTTTAGGTTGCATGCTGATGATCCCCGCAGGATGGATCGGATCTGCAGACTGGGGAGCATAATGGATCAGACTTTGATCCATTATGCTCAATCCTCAGATCCGATCCGTCCTGAGGGGACGTCACCAAGTGTTACCACACCGGGTGACACCAACCCTAGGGACGCCTCTGAGTGTCAGTGCTTTTTATTAGCACTGATCACTGTATTGGTGTCAATGGGGATGTCAGTGACACCAAGTCAATCCCCCCCCCCCCCCAGTGTCATAATGCCCACCAGAGTCCCGCTGTCCCACTATAAGTTGCTGATCTGCGCCATTACTAGTAAAAATAAAATAATCTCAGTCTACATCCCGCCATTTGTAAATGCTATAACTTTCACGTAAACCAATTAATTTACACGTACTGACATGGAGCAGAATACACCGTGGCCTAAATTTATGACGAAATTTGATTTTTTACATTTTTTTACTGGATATGTTTAATAGCAAAAAGTCCAAAATATTGTTTTTTTTCTAAAAAAAAATTTTTATAGCACAAAGAATAAAAACCGCAGAGGCGATCAAATGCCGATTAAAGAAAGCTCTATTTGTGGGGAAAAAAGGACGTCAATTTCATTTGGGTGCAGCGTTGCATGACCGCGCAATTGTCACTTAAAGTAACGCAAAAAAATGGCCTGGTCAGGGGCGGGGGGGAATCCTCTGGAGGGGAAGGGGTAAAAGAGGACCTGTCCCAAGGGACATGCAGTACATGGGCTGCCATTGCTGGGCTGAGCTTCTGAAAATACCAACTGCCTGGTTAAAGAGGACCTGTCCCAAGGGACATGCAGTACATGGGCTGCCATTGCTGGACTGAGCTTCTGAAAGTACTAACTGCCTGGTTAAAGAGGACCTGTCCCAAGGGACATGCAGTACATGGGCTGCCATTGCTGGGCTGAGCTTCTGAAAATACCAACTGCCTGGTTAAAGAGGACCTGTCCCAAGGGACATGCAGTACATGGGCTGCCATTGCTGGACTGAGCTTCTGAAAGTACTAACTGCCTGGAGTCCAAGCTGATTTTCTGACTTTTCTAAGTTGCCTATCCAGAAGAAGGGTCAGCGAATATCTCCCACCCAGTGCGTCTTCTCCATTCATTCCTATGCAAAGGCCGTCTCCTCTTCTGTTGTGCACCCCAATGGTATACATCATATAGGAATGAATGGGGGTTTGGGGGTTCTTTGGAGGGGAGTACGTTGGGGATACTGGGGGGGGGGGGGGGGTGAAGCTGAAGAATACATGAACTAAAAATACAGTCATCCTTCAAAAGTAACTTTTTTTGATTACAGAAATGATTAACGAGCTCTATGCACAAAATCACCGCCATAAATTTCACGCCGCCTGTCTATGAGACATGATATAACTTTTGACTTTATTATTAAGTCAGAAGTGTTATGTAAAGACTATTATTTTGAAAATGTGTAATTTTCTGTAGCGACGCCCGGTGCACACTTGATTTATCAGATAATTTTGATATATATATTTCTTTGATGTTTTCCCAGCATCAGTACAGAACAAACTGTCACGGGTAATTGGTGAGATGATAAGTTGTATTATCACTCTCTGCATGCATGCGCTGATGTAATGTAATTGTTTTCAGATTTTTAAATTTAGGAAACGTTAAACAATAAACGGCTGAAAGAAAAGCGGTTTTCGAAAAGTTAACGCACGGGAATTATGGGCTGCCGTCAGACTGTGGTTGTTCTACCAGTCAAAGAATGGATTATTTATTATGGTGTTCACCCATCTTCATTGAAACTGATCTCTGCTCCCACTTTTATATAATATAGATTTGATTAAAAAAAAAAAAAATATATATATATATATATATATATATATATATATAGAGTCAGGTCTGTAAATATTGGGACATGGACACAATTCTAACATTTTTGGCTCTATACACCACCACAATGGATTTGAAATGAAATGAACAAGATGTGCTTTAACTGCAGACTGTCAGCTTTAATTTGAGGGTATTTACACCCAAATCAGGTGAACGGTGTAGGAATTACAATAGTTTGCATATGTGCCTCCCACTTGTTAAGGGACCAAAAGTAATGGGACAATTGGCTTCTCAGCTGTTCCATGGCCAGGTGTGTGTTACTCCCTCATTATCCCAATTACAAGGAGCAGATAAAAGGTCCAGAGTTCATTTCAAGTGTGCTATTTGCATTTGGAATCTGTTGCTGTCAACTCTCAAGATGAGACTCAAAGAGCTGTCACTATCAGTGAAGCCATCATTAGGCTGAAAAAAACAAAACAAACCCATCAGAGAGATAGTAAAAACATTAGGCGTGGCCAAAACAACTGTTTGGAACATTCTTAAAAAGAAGGAACGCACCGGTGAGCTCAGCAACACCAAAAGACCCGGAAGACCACGGAAAACAACTGTGGTGGATGAGCGAAGAATTCTTTCCCTGGTGAAGAAAACACCCTTCACAACAGTTGGCCAGATCAAGAACACTCTCCAGGAGGTAGGTGTATGTGTGTCAAAGACACCAATCAAGAGAAGACTTCACCAGAGTGAATACAGAGGGTTCACCACAAGATGGAAACCATTGGTGAGCCTCAAACACAGGAAGGCCAGATTAGAGTTTGCCAAACGACATGTAAAAAAGCCTTCACAGTTCTGGAACAACATCCTATGGACAGATGAGACCGACATCAACTTGTACCAGAGTGATGGGAAGAGAAGAGGATGGAGAAGGAACTGCTCATGGTCCTAAGCATACCACCTCATCAGTGATCATGGTGGTGGTAGTGTCATGGCGTGGGCATGTATGGCTGCCAATGGAACTGCTTCTCTTGTATTTATTGATGATGTGACTGCTGACAGAAGCAGCCGGATGAATTGTGAAGTGTTTCGGGAATATTATCTGCTCATCAGCCAAATGCTTCAGAACTCATTGGACGCTTCACAGTGCAGATGGACAATGACCCAAAGCAGACTGCAAAAGCAACCAAAGAAGTGGAATGTTCTGCAATGGCCAAGTCCATCACCTGACCTGAATCCGATTGAGCATTTCACTTGCTGAAGACAAAACTGAAGGGAAAATGCCCCAAGAACAAGCAGGAACTGAAGACAGTTGCAGTAGAGGCCTGGCAGAGCATCACCAGGGATGACACCCAGCGTCTGCTGATGTCTATGCGTTTCAGACTTCAGGTTGTAATTGACTGCAAAGGATTTGCAACCAAGTATTAAAAAGTGAAAGTTTGATTTATGATTATTATTCTGTCCCATTACTTTTGGTCCCTTAAAAAGTGGGAGGCACATATGCAAACTGTTGTAATTCCTACACCGTTCACCTGATATGGATGTAAATACCCTCAAATTAAAGATGACAGTCTGCAGTTAAAGCACATCTTGTTTGTTTCATTTCAAATACATTGTGGCGGTGTATAGAGACAAAAATGTTAGAATTGTGTCGATGTCCCAATATTTATGGACCTGACTGTAAATATAATATACCATATACACTATATTGCCCGAAGTAATGGGCCACCTGCCTTCCCACACACATGACCTTTAATGGCCTCCCAGTCTTAGTCCGTAGAGTTCAATATTGAGTTGACCCCGCCCTTCCCACACACATGACCTTTAATGGTCCCCCAGTCTTAGTCCGTAGGGTTCAATATTGAGTTGACCCCGCCCTTTCCACGCACATGACCTTTAATGGCCCCCCAGTCTTAGTCCGTAGGGTTCAATATTGAGTTGGCCCCGCCCTTTGCAGCTGTAACAGCTTCAGCTCTTCTGGGAAGGCCGTCCACAAGGTTTAGGAGGGTGTCTATGGGAAGGTTGGACCATTCTTCCAGAAGCACATTTGTCAGGTCAGGGACTGATGTCGGGGGAGGAGGCCTGGCTCGCAGTCTCCGCTCTAATTCATCCCAAAGGTGTTCTATGGGGTTGAGGTCAGGACTCTGTGCAGGACAGTCAAGTTCCTCCACCCCAAACTGGCTCCTCCATGTCTTTATGGGTCTTGCTTTGTACACTGGTGCGCAGTCATGTTGGAACAGGAAGGGGCCATCCCCAAACTCTTCCCACAAAGTTGGGAGCATGAAATTGGCCAAAATGTTGCCTGAAGAGTTCCCTTCACTGGAACTAGGGGGCCAAGCCCAACCCCTGAAAAACAACCCCACACCATAATCCCCCTCCACCAAACTTTACACTTGGCACAATGCAGTCAGGCAAGTACCGTTCTCCTGACAACCACCAAACCCAGACACGTCCATCGGATTGCCAGACAGAGCAGCGTGATTGGTCACTCCAGAGAACATGTCTCCTCTGCTCTAGAGTCCAGTGGCGGCATGCTTTACACCACTGCATCCAACACTTTGCATTGCACTTGGTGATGGAAGGCTTGGATGCAGCTGCTCGGCCATGGAAACCCATTCCATGAAGCTCTCTATGCACTGTTGTTGGGTTCATCTGAAGGCTACACCAAGTTTGGAGGTCTTTAGCTATTGACTCTGCAGACAGTTGGCGACTTCTGTGCACTGTGCGCCTCAGCCTGCGCTGACCCCGCCCTGTCATGTGACGTGGCCTACCACTTGGTGGCTGAGTGGCTGTTGTTCCCAGTGGCTTCCACTTTGTTATAATCCCACTAACAGTTGAGCGTGGAATATTTAGTAGCCAGGAAATGTCACGGATGGACTTATTGCCCAGGTGGCCACCTATCACGGGACCACGCTTGGAGTCACTGAGATCCTGAGAGCAACCCATTCTTTCACCAATGTTTGTAGAAGCAGTCTGCATGCCTAGGGGCTTGATTGTATACACCTGTGTCCATGGAGGGGATTGGAAAACCTGAATCACATGACATGGAGGGGATTGGAACACCTGAATCACATGATATGGAGGGGATTGGAACACCTGAATCACATGATATGGAGGGGATTGGAACACCTGAATCACATGATATGGAGGGGATTGGAACACCTGAATCACATGATTGGGAGGGGATTGGAACACCTGAATCACATGATTTGGGGTGCGGGCCCAACACTTTTGGCAATGTAGTGTATATGTAATACACTACATTGCCAAAATACTACAGTTATGGGGGATGGAAGACCTTAGTTATGGTGGATGGAGGACCTCAGTTATGGGGGATTGCGGACCTTAGTTATGGGGGATGGAGGACCTCAGTTATGGGGGATTGCAGACCTTAGTTATAGGGGGATGGAGGACCTCAGTTATGGGGGATGGAAGACCTTAGTTATGGCGGTGGAGAACCTCAGTTATGGGGGATTGCAAACCTTAGTTATAGGGGGATGGAGGATCTGAGTTATGGGGGTTTGCGGACCTTAGTTATAGGGGGATGGAGGATCTCAGTTATGGGGGATTGCAGACCTTAGTTATAGGGGGGGGATGGAGGACCTCAGTTATGGAGGGTGGAGAGCCTCAGCTAAAGGGGAATGGAGGACCTCAGTGTTGGACGGTGGAGAACCTCAGTTAAAGGGGGATGGAGGACCTCAGTGTTGGACGGTGGAGACCCTCAGTTAAAGGGGGATGGAGGACCTCAGTGTTGGATGGTGGAGAACCTCAGTTAAAGGGGGATGGAGGACCTCAGTGTTGGACGGTGGAGAACCTCAGTTAAAGGGGGATGGAGGACCTCAGTGTTGGACGGTGGAGAACCTCAGTTAAAGGGGGATGGAGGACCTCAGTGTTGGACGGTGGAGAACCTTAGTTAAAGGGGGATGGAGGACCTCAGTGTTGGACGGTGGAGAACCTCAGTTAAAGGGGGATGGAGGACCTCAGTGTTGGACAGTGGAGACCCTCAGTTAAAGGGGGATGGAGGACCTCAGTGTTGGACGGTGGAGAACCTCAGTTAAAGGGGGATGGAGGACCTCAGTGTTGGACAGTGGAGAACCTCAGTTAAAGGGGGATGGAGGACCTCAGTGTTGGACGGTGGAGAACCTCAGTTAAAGGGGGATGGAGGACCTCAGTGTTGGACGGTGGAGAACCTTAGTTAAAGGGGGATGGAAGATCTCAGTGTTGGACGGTGGAGAACCTTAGTTAAAGGGGGATGGAGGACCTCAGTGTTGGACGGTGGAGAACCTCAGTTAAAGGGGGATGGAGGACCTCAGTTTTGGACGGTGGAGAACCTTAGTTAAAGGGGGATGGAAGATCTCAGTTTTGGAAAATGACTACAAACATTAAACTTATTCTCCTGGAGAAGAGAGGAGATATGAACACCATATACAAATCTTTGAATGGTGATTCTGACATTGATAGGAAACTATTTAATTCTTAGGTCTCCAAAGAAGACTCGTGGGCACACTATGAAGTTGGATGAGAAGCAGATAAATCCTAAACCATGTAAGGGGTTCTTTACTGTTAGAGCGGTAAGGATGTGGACCTCCCTTGCACAGCTGGTGGTGTCAGCAAGCAGGGTAGATAAATTAAAAAAATGTTTTGATGTGCTTATTAGAAACCTCAATGTACAGGGACACGGACAATGAAGGTGACACATACGTTGAATTGGACAGAACCGCGTCTTTATTCGACTTTATCAACTATGTAGCTATATAATTGTAAACTTCTTGGGAAAGGATGTTACAGAGATACAAAGTGTTCCATTTATAACAGAATGATAATATCACACAAATGCGCCGAGAGTTTTCCAGGAAATGTGAGCCGAAATCTTATAAGAGAAGACAAACAACTTGTAGAAGGGTCAGATTGGGAGCGTAATTCACATGTAGAACAGTCTGTATCGCCCACTTTGCACCTTGTAATTTTCAGCCATCAGTGAAGAAAGAAAAATGTTTTTAATAAATATGCCACACGCAATACCAGATTGTGCTGAATGACTTTTTGTCCTAATAGTTATTGCAGCGGAACGCGGGGACATTATTCAAGAAGTGATTATAGACGCGGGAATAACAATAATTGTCTGTGAAAGCGATGGGGGGGGGGGGGGGGGGAGCTAGTGCACTTTTATTTGATTATATTTTCAGCAAGGAAGTAAAGAAATCATGTTACCAGTTTAGTGAAATAAGCCGGAATCAGAGATAAAAATTGGTGGAACGATACACACAGACCGCTCCTAGTACAGACAGGGTACCCCAACCCTCTAACCCTCCCCCACCCCTCCATTTCTTTTTTTTCCCCTTCTATTCTCTCTTCTTTTCTTTCTTCTTCTTTTTCTCTTCCTTTTGTCTCCTCATTCCCCTCCTCTCTTTACTGAGACCCCTGCAACCGGTTACTGCAGGAGGTATACTGGTCTCCGGACAATACATCTTTATCGACTCTGTGACAGGAGTCACTTTGGATGGGGGGCCCATGGAACCCAGCTTACTTTGGAGAGGTGGGGAGACCCCTGTCTCAGCTCCCCATATCCCTCTTATGTGTAAGTCACCCTGTGCCAGTTAGGGGAACGGGGTGGAATGTCCTGATATTGTGTAGACATATCTAGGAGATAGGTGGGGGGTTGTTGATTGTTTAATGCCATGTGGCTGTATCCCATTGTTCTATTGTGTGTCTTGCTTGGGAGCAAACTATTATGGGATGTATGTGTTTATGTGTATTGGCTTGGTGGGGGGTGTCTCCAGCAGACCTCCCTCCTGATGGGACTGTCTGCTGGTGTGAAGTTTGAATACCTGTGCATCTCTTGTTACTAAATGTAGATTGCTCCGCCCTGTGTCATTATGCAGGGAGGGGGGGATTGCCCCTGCCCTGTGTCATTATGCAGGGAGGGGGGATTGCTACGCCCTGTGTCATTATGCAGGGAGGGGGGATTGCCCCGCCCTGTGTCATTATGCAGGGAGGGGGGAGATTGCCCCCTGAGTGTATATATCTTGTATCTGTGTTCAAATAAACTAGTCTACCTCCTGGTTTACTTCAAGATTGGTGTTGTCTAGTCCTGTATGGTCGTCTGTGGTGTCTGTGGTCGGTGTTCGGACGGGGAAGCCGTATTCTAACGGAAGTACTCAAGCGCAGTCTGGGTCGGTTCAGTTACAGTCTCTGGCACAGTACACTTCGATACATTATTGCCCTACACCCTGACAAACCGAATACAGAGACATTTCTTGACTCAACATATTAAAGAGTTCCACCCAAAATGGGAAGTTCCTCTTTAAAGACTGGTCCCCCACTCCCCATTAAGGATTGGCACCTTTGGGGAGAGGGGGGGAAGGGGTACCCGAATTTGACAGGTTCCCTTTCCCACTTCCGCTTAGATCGCCTAGGCGATCGGAAATGGAAGTTGTCCTCCTACCCTCCCTCCCCGAAGTCTTGTGGGACACATGACAGGTCCCAGAAGACGATGGGGCCATTCAGGAAGCACAGCTCTACTCGCGCATGCGCAGTGGGCACCTGGCTGTGAAGCCGCAAGCTGTCACAGCCGGGTTCCCTCACTGAAGATGGAATACAGGGCGGCCGGTGAAACGGGCTGCGGCAGGGGCAACGGGGGACCGAGGGGTAGGTAAGTGGCTGTTTTTTTAAAGTCAGCAGCTACGGTTTTTGTAGCTGCTGACTTTTATTTTTTTACAGAGTGAGTGGAACTCCGCTTTAAAGTGAACCTGTCATGTAAACTTGACGACTTTTATACTCCTAACCAGGGGCGGACTGACAACTCATGGGGCCCCCGGGCAATAGGGGATCATGGGGCCCCTGTGTCCTTGCCCGAACTCAAAAAAGCCTATGAAAAACTTACCAGGGGCATCTCATGGGGCCCCTTACTGACCCTGGGCCCTCGGGCAGTGCCCGAGTTTCCAAATGGTCAGTCCACCCCTGCTCCTAACAATGTCACTACAGCTGACTTGCAAACATTGGACTCATATAGACTTTGGAAAGACTTTTGATTTGTGGAATTAGGCCCCCCTCACTTTCAAGGGGGGGAGGGGAGGAGGGAGGGAAGGGAAGAGAAAAGAAAAGTTTGCCGTCCTGAATGTTGGATACTGAGTTGCCATGTAACACTTGGTGCTATTATTGCATTTACTTGATGTTAACTGCGGACATGACTACATTTGATTGTTATGGGGGTTGTTTTGCTTTTTGTTCTCCCGATTGTTATATCCACCCCCCCCCCATTCTTTGTATTCCTCGTATCCTATATATTCAATAAAAGTTTATTTTGGGGGAAAAAATTTATTGGAAAACCACAGATTCCCGCTGAAATATAACACGAGATTCCCTACTAATAGAATGGCGGTGATACAAATACACGGCATGAAGAGCAATGGTGGAAGGCTGCTTAGGGTCAGCTGCGTCTGGTCTCCTCCATCACTACCAGATCACCCAGATATATATTTGTGGACCCCTGACTGGGGATGAGCTGAACTGGATTCGGGTCAAGCAAGGTTCAGCCCGGGTTCACACTGACGCGGTGCGGAATTGGTAGCGTTTTCAGTGTGAATTCCGCACCGCATCAGAATCGCACCCCTGTGGGTGTGTATGTTAACAACCCCCCCGAAAGCAGTCCGCAAAACGTGGTGCGATGTGCAGAATCGGATCGCATGGCTGTGAATACTCGCGCTCAACAAAAGAATCCTCAAAGTGATCCAAAATGTGCATGTGAATAAATAAAAAATAAGAAATCGTTCAACATAAGTGAAAAATGAAATAAAAGTCCAACAAAATGTCTCTTCCACCAAGCGAATCTTCTAATTCCCCCCCCCAAAAAAAAAGAAATCACCAGGTGCAAAGGGATGGTGTCCCCCCTTTCGGGTATGCACTCACCGGATAGCCATGCCCCCCCATTCTCATGGTTGGCTAGAATCGCTTATAAAGGGAATCCAAATGGGAAGGAAATCAACCAAAATCGATATTGTTACTCCTCTGTGTTTATCCTCCAATCTCCATGCCTGTCGTTCCCCTGATCAGCCGGAACCACTTCACAGGTTAACAGATTCCTCCCTAGAGCGACTTTTTCTTTCTTTTTTTCTGGTTTCTGGTCAAATTTGATCAACTCAAGACGAACAGCACAGAAGCGACTTTAGAAGATATACGTCTTGCAAGATCCGGCTCACCGGTTAATTATTATTA